TGTGTCTCTCTATAATAAAGTGTGTCTCTCTCTCAATAATACAGTGTGTGTCTCTATAATACAGTGTGTGTCTCTCTATAATACAGTGTGTCTCTCTATAATATAGTGTGTCTCTCTCTCTATAATACAGTGTGTGTCTCTCTAATACAGTGTGTCTCTCTATAATACAGTGTGTGTCTCTACAATACAGTGTGTCTCTATAATACAGTGTGTGTCTCTACAATACAGTGTGTCTCTATAATACAGTGTGTGTCTCTCTATAATACAGTGTGTCTCTATAATACAGTGTGTGTCACTCTATAATACAGTGTGTGTCTCTCTAATACAGTGTGTGTCTCTCTATAATACAGTGTGTGTCTCTATAATACAGTGTGTGTCTCTCTATAATACAGTGTGTGTCTCTCTCTATAATACAGTGTGTGTCTCTCTATAATACAGTGTGTGTGTCTCTCTATAATACAGTGTGTCTCTCTATAATAAAGTGTGTCTCTCTCTCAATAATACAGTGTGTGTCTCTATAATACAGTGTGTCTCTCTATAATACAGTGTGTCTCTCTATAATATAGTGTGTCTCTCTCTCTATAATACAGTGTGTGTCTCTCTAATACAGTGTGTCTCTCTATAATACAGTGTGTGTCTCTACAATACAGTGTGTCTCTATAATACAGTGTGTGTCTCTCTATAATACAGTGTGTGTCTCTCTATAATACAGCGTCTCTCTATAATACAGCGTGTCTCTATAATACAGTGTGTGTCACTCTATAATACAGTGTGTGTCTCTCTCTATAATACAGTGTGTGTCTTTCTATAATACAGTGTGTCTCTCTATAATACAGTGTGTGTCTCTCTATAATACAGTGTGTGTCTCTCTCTATAATACAGTGTGTGTCTCTCTATAATACAGTGTGTCTCTATAATACAGTGTGTGTCTCTCTATAATACAGTGTGTCTCTCTATAATACAGTGTGTCTCTCTCTCTCTATAATACAATGTGTGTCTCTCTATAATACAGTATGTGTCTCTATAATACAGTGTGTGTCTCTCTATAATACAGTGCGTCTCGCTATAATACAGTGTGTGTCTATAATACAGTGTGTCTCTATAATACAGTGTGTGTCTCTCTATAATACAGTGTGTGTCTCTCTATAATACAGTGTGTCTCTATAATACAGTGTGTGTCTCTATAATACAGTGTGTGTCTCTCTATAATACAGTGTGTGTCTCTCTATAATACAGTGTGTCTCTCTCTCTATAATACAGTGTGTGTCTCTCTATAATACAGTGTGTCTCTATAATACAGTGTGTGTCTCTATAATACAGTGTGTCTCTCTCTCTATAATACAGTGTCTCTCTATAATACAGTGTGTCTCTCTCTCTATAATACAGCGTGTCTCTATAATACAGTGTGTGTCTCTCTATAATACAGTGTGTCTCTCTCTCTATAATACAGCGTGTCTCTATAATACAGTGTGTGTCTCTCTATAATACAGTGTGTCTCTATGATACAGTGTGTGTCTCTCTATAATACAGTGTGTCTCTATAATACAGTGTGTGTCTCTATAATACAGTGTGTCTCTCTATAATACAGTGTGTCTCTATGATACAGTGTGTGTCTCTCTATAATACAGTGTCTCTCTATAATACAGTGTGTGTCTCTATAATACAGTGTGTCTCTCTATAATACAGTGTGTGTCTCTCTATAATACAGTGTGTCTCTCTCTCTATAATACAGCGTGTCTCTATAATACAGTGTGTGTCTCTCTATAATACAGTGTGTGTCTCTCTATAATACAGTGTGTGTCTCTCTATAATACAGTGTGTCTCTATGATACAGTGTGTGTCTCTCTATAATACAGTGTGTCTCTATAATACAGTGTGTGTGGCAGAAGCAGCCACAAGAGACTTTTGCATTGATTATTGCCTGTATTTGAACTGTATATTATTTGAGCATAGTGGATTTTATTAGACTGGTTCTGGCCCTTTAAATGCTCTGACAAAGGATCTGCAGTTTTTGCTATGCACTTCGGATGCAGAGTGTGAAGAAAAAAAACCCTGTTTTATGGACTTAGTTTGACTGTTTTATTCCCCTCCCTCGTAGAACACCAGTTTAAAAACCCTTAATAACTGTCATATTTTCAAACGCTGTCTGTCTTTAACTGTCAGTTTGTTTTCCTCTGAGGAGGAGTTGTTTTTGCTGCGTGAGTGCTGTTGCTTTGTGTGCTCATTAAACAGACCTGCTTGACCCTTTCTTGAAGCCTTGGCTCGTGCTTGGGGGATGGGATAAGTCTGCAGTGCTGATGGTGTCGGTTGGAGTGCTTGAAGTCCTCGGCAAGCACTAGGAGCATCGATTGGCGGAGGTACTCGGTCGGAGTGCCAGCGGGTCCGTCACAGTGTGTCTCTCTATAATACAGTGTGTGTCTCTCTATAATACAGTGTGTGTCTCTCTATAATACAGTGCGTCTCGCTATAATACAGTGTGTGTCTATAATACAGTGTGTCTCTCTATAATACAGTGTGTCTCTATAATACAGTGTGTGTCTCTCTATAATACAGTGTGTCTCTATAATACAGTGTGTGTCTCTCTATAATACAGTGTGTGTCTATAATACAGTGTGTGTCTCTCTATAATACAGTGTGTCTCTCTCTCTATAATACAGTGTGTGTCTCTCTATAATACAGTGTGTCTCTATAATACAGTGTGTGTCTCTATAATACAGTGTGTCTCTCTCTCTATAATACAGTGTCTCTCTATAATACAGTGTGTCTCTCTCTCTATAATACAGTGTGTGTCTCTATAATACAGTGTGTGTCTCTCTATAATACAGTGTGTGTCTATAATACAGTGTGTGTCTCTCTATAATACAGTGTCTCTCTATAATACAGTGTGTCTCTCTCTCTATAATACAGTGTGTGTCTCTATAATACAGTGTGTGTCTCTATAATACAGTGTGTCTCTATAGTACAGTGTGTCTCTATAATAGTGTCTCTCTATAATACAGTGTGTCTCTCTCTCTATAATACAGCGTGTCTCTATAATACAGTGTGTCTCTCTCTCTCTATAATACAGCGTGTCTCTATAATACAGTGTGTCTCTATAATACAGTGTGTGTCTCTCTATAAT